CCTGCCTCAGTTTCTTCATCTGTGAAATGATAATAGCATCAAGACCACTTCTCATCTTCCTCCCCCCCCCTTTGTGAAGAGAAACTGACATAGTTTGTAAAAGGCTTTGCAAACCTTAAAGCACAGTATAAATGCCCTATGCCAGGGGGCTTGTGAAGAAGAGAACTTTAGGAACAAAAGTATTTTATGCTTGAGTATTTGGTGTGTGCAAGGCTGGATGCTGGGATACAAAAATGAAAAATAACAGATTTTCCAGAAAATATGAGAATCAAACATAGTGCAGTTAAGATATAGATGCATTTAAAAGCTGCCACTAGATGGTGAATTCCAATAAAAGATTTCATACTTAAGCTGAAGGAAATGGCCAATGAGGGAATTTGTTTTTCTTGACTACATGTTTATTAAAAGGGTTTTGTTTTTCTTTCCGTGGGGTGGGGGAAGAAGTGAGAGGCAAGGAAAATAAACTTTTGTTAATTGAAAACATGAAAACTCTAAATTCTTGTCAAGTATCCCAACTGTGGTTACCTATCTTTGAACATTTCACTGACTTCTAGTTTTCTAAATGACCAAGAAGGAACATTGCCTGATGTAGGCATATTTCTGAAGCTGAGTTCTCAGAAACAACAATAAACATTTATTATGTACAAGACTCTGGGGATACCAGCAAAAATGGACGTTCCTGGTCTACAAGGAACTTACCCTTGACAAAGAAGGAGGATAAGTTGGGAAGAGGGGAGTTTTGGGGGAAAGATGAACTGATGCTGTTTTGGACATATCATGGGGAAATGACTTCTAGGTCTGGGGGACAGTCTATAGAGGAGAGAGAGGGCAAGGTGAGATTGGGGAACAGCTAACAGAACAACTTAACCGTCACTTAAACAGTGTACATAGAGCAGGGGTCATGAATGATAACTCTGAAAAAAGGACTATGCCCTGGAAGTCCTTAAATGTAAAGCCAAGGAATTTTTAAATATTTTATCCTACTGGTAACAACAGTCTTTGACTAAGGCAGTGATACAGTTAGATTTGTGTATTAGAAACAAATACTTTGATAGCTTTGTGAAGGGTGAAGTGAAAAGGAAGAGACCAGAAGTAAATAATAATAACAGCATTCATGTAGTAGTTTAAGATTTGCCGAGCAACCCTGGGGGAGAAGTGCTATTATCAGCCCTATTTTTACAGATAAGGAAACTGAGGCTAATAGGTTTAATGAATTAAGTGTCTGAAGCAGGTTTTGAACACAGATCTTCTTAGCTTCAAGTCAACTCTATCACATTAAATTTATGACAGGATTCCAGAGGAGGTTATGAGGGCTAGAAATAGGGTGAGAGAAATGGGAAAGGGGGGAGGGAAGAAATGCACGTGACAGTGTATATAAGGTAACTGATTAGATGATGTGGGGGTGGCCAAAGGAGGGGGGATAAGTTTAGAAGAGAAAATGATTATTTTAGTTTTGTATGTGTTGAGTTTGAGGTGCCAGTGAGAAAGACACTCAAGTGGATTTCAGGAGAGAAAATAGAGATGGAGATTATATATATATATATACACACACACACACACATATATATATACATATATATATATATACACATACATACATATATACATATATATAATATATATTATATATTATGTATATATATACACACACATACATACATATATAATATATATTGTATATTATGTATATATACACATACATACATATATATAATATATATTATATATTATGTATACATGTATATGTATATTTGGGCATTTGAAGCATAAAGAGGAGAATAACAAATCTCATAGCAGCTAAGGTAACAGGGGGCCACTCACACTTGCTCAGAACAAGTGAGAACATCTATTCAAAATGATGGCGTTTTCAGAGGACCAAGAGATCATAACAGAAATCAGTGCTAGAACAGGAAGGGATCTCAGGCCATCTCCTTCATTTAACAGATACGAAACAGGCTCAGGGAAGTGAAATGACTTGCCCCAGATCACATAGGAGCATGAGGTGGGATTTGAAGAAAGTGGAGACAGTGTTCTTTCCACTGTACCCTGATGTCATGAAGCCAAAGAGTGGGGGGTGGGGGTAGGACAATTGTCAGATGATGCAAATAAGTCAAGGGATGTGAGACAGAAAAAAAGCCTTTAGATTTTATTTTTTAAAATTTTCCTAAATACTTCCTGAGTGGGATTGAGACCACTTACCCAAATAAAAACTCAGAGGTTTCTCCAGGTAGAAAACAGAAGGTTTTATTTTAGCAAGTCTTGCGTGGGAGTTGGGCGTCACCTACCCAGGGCGGACTGGAGTAGCGAGGCCAAGCACAAACAGCAGCAAGCAGTTATATCCTCTTAGACAAATCACTCCAAGAAACCCCCCTCCCCACTTGTTTGTCTCAATCTCTTTATCCTCATTGGTTGAGGCAAGAGACTTCACAGTCTATATTTAGAACCCAAGAGATACATTTTACTCAAACAAGCTTGGGAGCTAGATTGCCTTATGTGGTAAAAATAAGGTGCAAAACAAAAGAGGGGTGGTTACAAAACAAGGGAGGGGGTGGGCAGCTGGTGTACAACCCCATTCCCCCAAAACGAAAGTGAAACTTAGGTCCAGCTCCTGCTGAAGCCTTCCTACATTTCTGGAGCATAGCTTACATCTCACATGAGAAACTTTCACTTGTCCCACACACTTCCCAATTACATTTTAATTTGGTTTGGGGTCTGGAGTGTTGTGCACAATTTTGGGCCACATGCTGTCCATGGGCCACTGTGGAACACTTCTGTTCTGGAGAATTACCAGTGAAAAGGAAAAAGAGATGTAGGATGATAACCTTGTTTTGTTTTTAGCATGGGATTAGACTTGCGCACACTTGTGAACAAAGAAGAAGGAACCAGTGGAGGACAGTTTCTTTAGTAAAAGAGAGAAATAGAGAAAAATTGTTCAGTTATTTCAGCCATGTCTGACTATTTGTGACCCCATTTGGGATTTTCATGGCAAAGATCCTGGAGTGGTTTGCTATTTCCTTCTCCAGCTCATTTTAAAGATGAGAAAACTGAGGCAACCAGGGTTAAGTGACTTGCCCAGGGTCATACAGCTAATAAGTGTCTGAAGATGGATTTGAACTCAGGTTTTCCTAACTCTAGGCCCAACACACTATCCACTATGCCACCTAGCTTCCCTGAGAATAATTGAGTGCTATATACAAATCAGTTATTTATTGAAGGGAAAGAACAAAGGATGTGTAAAGTCATAAAAAGGTTTGAGGATTATAGAATTGGAAGGGACCTCAAAAGCCACTTAGTGCAACCCCCTCGGAGCTCCTGATCAGTGAGAGTTTATGACAAGCCCAACCCAGACCCACCACACAGCCTGCTCCTGTTCAGTCATCTTCCTGTCATGTCACCACCTCGACTTCTGGTTTTGGGAACAATAATCAAATCAACATCGTTTCTGGAAAGGACATATCAGTAAATTGACCTATGGCCCCACTCACTGCACCTGTGGTTCCTCGGTCCAAAACAACAGTATTTCCACATACAGTATTGTCTTTTCCTACTAGAATGTAAGTTCAGAGACTGTCTTGCTTTTTCTTTGTATCTCCAGTGTCTGTTACACAGTGCCTGGCACATAGTAAACAGTCCTTCCTTCCTTCCTTCCTTCCTTCCTTCCTTCCTTCCTTCCTTCCTTCCTTCCTTCCCTCCTTCCCTCCCTCCCTCCTTCCCTCCCTCCCTCCCTCCCTCCCTCCTTCCCTCCTTCCCTCCTTCCCTCCTTCCCTCCTTCCTTCTTTCCTTCCTTCCTTCCTTCCTTCCTTCCTTCCTTCCTTCCTTCCTTCCTTCCTTCCTTCCCTCCTTCCTTCCCTCCCTCCTTCCCTCCTTCCCTCCTTCCCTCCCTCCCTTCTTCCCTCCCTCCCTCCTTCCCTCCTTCCCTCCCTCCTTCCCTCCTTCCCTCCTTCCTTCCTCCTTCCCTCCTTCCCTCCTTCCCTCCTTCCCTCCTTCCCTCCTTCCCTCCTTCCCTCCTTCCTTCTTTCCTTCCTTCCTTCCTTCCTTCCTTCCTTCCTTCCTTCCTTCCTTCCTTCCTTCCTTCCTTCCCTCCTTCCCTCCTTCCCTCCTTCCCTCCTTCCCTCCTTCCCTCCTTCCTTCCTTCCTTCCTTCCTCCCTTCCTTCTTCCCTCCCTCCCTCCCTCCCTTCCTTCTTCCCTCCCTTCCTTCCTTCCTTCCTTCCTTCCTTCCTTCCTTCCTTCCTTCCTTCCTTCCTTCCTTCCTTCCTTCCTTCCTTCCTTCCTTCCTTCCGAAGTGAGGTTTGGATGCCATCCCACCAATTCCTAAACCAATACCTTTTCCATTCTGGTATACTGGACAGGTGAGCATGTCTGTGAGAACTGGGGTTTGGAGGTAGCTTAAGGATGAGCATATTTGAAATAGTATCTGGGGGAAGAGTGACAGAGAATCAATCAGAAATGAATACAATTGCACAACAATCGCACACACACAAAATCCCAACAAGTGGTGAGAGCCCAGGCAGGTTATATCCAGGGGTATACCAGAGCTGATTGTTCCTTATTTTCAGCGTGATCATTTCCACCTCAGAAGTGGGCAAAGGTTACAAATCAGAGCTGAATTTGTTGTTTTGTTGATGGTCTAGACATAAGACAGTGCTGGAGAAAATGTTAATGATGAATATTAAAAGTATGCCATGGTACATTCCCCCCACCCCAAGTTGGTTTTTAAACATTTACCAGTGCAATCCAAATTCTATCAGCTCAGTGCCTGTGGTTTCATAACTTCCCCCAGCAGCATTCTGCTGCTCTGGATTAGGAAAGGAGAAGGCAGATCGTGGGGTGACCCAGGGCTAGGCTGCTTGTTGTTCAGTCGTTTCAGAGTCTTTGTAACCCCATTTGGTGTTTTCTTAGCAAAGATACTGGAGTGGTTTGCCATTTCCTTCTCATTTTACAGATGAGGAAACTGAGTGATTTGCTCAGGGTCACACAGCTACTAAGTGTCTGAGGCCAGATTTGAACTCAAGTCTTTCTGACTCCAGGCCCAGCACTTGGTCCGCTTTGCCACCTAGCTGTCCCAAGGCTGAGGCTTAGGTGGGAACTACTGCTTGATATAAGATGGGTAGTGCCTTGTGGAAATGGCTAATTGCAGTTCAAAACAGTGAAAGGAGGGAAGTCAAGCTAGAGCAGGGGATTTGACTAGTAGCTAAGGAAGGAATTGAGAAATTAGACGTTATAATGAAGGTAAAGGACAGGTTTAAATGGAATGAGATAGCAGAAGAGGTTGAAGGACGGGAAATTTTGATCAGAGAGGCAAGAGACTGTATGTTCTGGTTGTTAGTAGGGAACAAAGAATATGCCTGTACAGTATGGGCATCTTTTGTGAATTTTTTTTGGGGGTGACCAGTTGGGTTGAATCTTGATTTTAAGAATTGTGGAAATGATCCACTTATCTGTTTTTTTATTGTTAGTCCCTTGGTGGGGTTAGGTTCAGGTGGCTCTTAGCTAAGGTTTATGAGGTCAGTCCAGAGAACCCAGGTTGTTCAAACACAGGACCACCTAGTATAGCAATGGGGAGATTTCTTGTATGCTCACTTCTAGTTCTCCTATCCAGATGTAGGATTTCTGAATTTGTATATATTCTTTGGTTAATAAACTCTGTAAAATGCACTCGTGGTTTGGAATGTTCAGGTGTGCATTGAAGGGAAAGCAAAGACTGGATGCTGGGAAAGGGAACCTGAAGGGTGTCTGTGGCAGAAGCCGGGGAGAGGTAATTGAGGTCTACATGATGTAGGTCTGGGATCTTAGGAAGACAAACCTGCTGAGGTGCTGGGAAAGTCCAGGAAGCTTGGTCCTTCAAGTTGGGGTTCACAGAGCAAGGGAAGTTTTATAAAGAATGCAAGTTAAAGGGTGAAGTCCTGAGGTCTTCTGAGAATGAAAACTTATGGGTCAGTGAATTCTTAAGCTGCAGCAAATCCCTCTGTTAGGTGTTGGTGAGATAAAGACAAACATGAAACATGGAAGCTTACAGTCTATGGAGGAATACAATGCATACACAGATAAGTATTACAAAGCAGTTTGAAGTGGGCTAGGGTACTGGCAATGGGGTAGGGACGTAAGACGGGAAAGCTGGGGAAGTTCATATTTAATTCTAGGGATCCACTGAATGAATACTTAGGAGCAGGGGAATGATGTGATCAGACTTGTGCCTTAGGAAGCTTATTTTGGAAGGAGGATAGGGGACTATGAACCTTAGGCTTTAGGATGGTTAATTGTTAAAAGTTCAGAGAAAGGCTCTCAAGGCCTAAAATGTTACAAGGGAAGTCAGCCCAAGGGAGACTTGGTTGGAAGACCCTTTGTTAAAAATAACATTCTAATGAAACACATGGTTCTGATGAGGAAGGAAAGGGAGAAGTGTTTAAAAAGACAGAGGGGGGTGCACTAGAAATTTATTGATCAATTTAAATTTACAAATAAGGCGTATGTAAAAGGAAAGCAAAGACCAATAACAGGTTGAAAACACAAGAGTGACACCTTCCTGACAAAATGTTGAATCCAATCATTAGCTGATGACAGTAATCAAAAGGGGTTGTGTTGGGAACAAGAGACAACCAAGGAAAGGACAGGACCTCCATGCACCCAGGTAGAATCAGAACTACTCAACTCTTCTAACTAGGAAGCACAGAATAGAAATGATTAATGGCGATTGGAAACAGAGACTTCAAGACTAGGCCACCTTATGCTATGCCACATTGCCTCTCCTTACATGGTTGGCACTAAATCCATTTTTGCTGAGAAAATGAATTCATTTATAGAGCACCTCTTGGCTATAAGGTACATGTCCTTGGCTTGAGACCCTCATCACTCTAGGGGAAAATTGCAGAGAGGATGGAGAAGTATGTGAGTGTTAGATGGTAATAGAAAAGACTCAGAAGCTGGTTTAGCATCCTTCATTAACTCAACAAATATTTGTTGAAAGCCTGATATATATATATGTGTGTATATATATATGTCTATGGACCATCTTGTTCAGTAAATATTTGTCAAATGAATGAATGAATGAATGAATGAATGAATGAATGGAAAACAGTCTTTAGGCTGCTGTTTACAACTTCTTGCCTTGCCCACCCCAGGCAGAAAACGAAGATGGTGGCAGCTGCTGACTCTTCAGGACTGTGTCTCTACCTGCTGGTTCATGTTTGGGCTATTAGTCCCAGTAGAAGGAGGTGCTGCTGCTATGGTTCCTGCTCCCCTCATGTAGTGATGGGTGGTAGACAGGCCCAAGCTAAGCAGGAAGCAGGAAGATGGTCCCAAGGAAGCACCGAGCTCTCATCTCAGGCACCTGCAGCAAAGGGCAGGCAGGTAGAATAGTAAAACATTCAGAATTGCACCGAGTTCCTGTGGCCACTTTCCCTCCCCCCTTTCTCAGCAGCCTGAAGCCTGGCTCTCTCAGGCTTCTTGCTTAAGTCGAGAGTCTTTGCTCCAAGGCTGAGATCAAAGCAACCATTCCCTGAGGCTGGAACTGTCTCTTTATCTTGTGCGCTATTGGATTTGTGGCTCAGCCAAGTGCAGAGAGAGAGGGAAACTGGGAGGGAGGGAGGAAGCCAGAGGAAATTCAAGGGTCTCTATTTCTTCTGTTGCCTAGCCAGGACTTTCCCCAGCCTCTCTTGCTCTTAGCCAATAACTTTCGGAAATGCTCTTTTCGAGGCCTTTTTTTCCTTCAGCAAAAGCTTCTTTTATAGTCTCCTCCATCCAACGGGACCATATTAGTTAGCCAGTCACGATAGGGCACAAATAAGCACAAATGAGGGGCTAGCAGTGGAAGAGGTGGAGCTAGGTGTGAAGGGACTGACCAGGGCTTTCCCTCCCCCCGGTCAAGGAAGCTGTAGTGGAAGTCTGCAGACTTGGGTTCCATGTCCAATTCTGTGACTAAACAGCTCTTTGACCTTGGTTAAGTCTCTTCTCCCCATGAGCCTCAGTTTCCTTTTTTGTAAAAAGAAAGGGTTGCATTTGGTGGTCATTAAGGTCTCTTGAAATCCTAAATGCTATGATGACCATGATTTGAATACTCAGAAATCAAGTTAAAGTCAAAAGATAGCCTTGAAGGGATAAAAAGATCTCAAAATACGTTGTAGGGAGGGCCTGAATTAGGGAGCAGTACTTTGGGATTAGAGGGATTATTTGAGTTGATTGTATGCGTAGAAACCATAGCTCTTTTATTTATTTACTTATTTTATCTCACTTTATATTATTTACTTATAGGTTTACTTATTTACTACCGAGTCCCAAAGCCCACTGGCATGGGACTCTCTCCTCTTTGGTGGAGATCAGTAGCCTGCCCCCACATGAGGGGCAAGAGAGAGGGAAGGAAGAATGAAGAGGCTAGCTTTCTTCTAGCTCCTGTGTCTTCAGTCTCTTCGGGCTTTGAGAGAGAAGATGGCAGACATCTTCTCAAAGTCTTTTCCTTCAGCAACCTGAAGTGGGATTGAGGCATAGATCACCATTGATGAGGAAAAGTCACAAATCAATGGACTCTGAGACTTGAGTTACATTCCAGCACCAGCAAGGGAGCTATCTCCCTAAACAGCCAATTGAGCCAGCATTTTGGATTTCTTCCCTAAACAGCCAATTGAGCCAGCATTTTGGATTTCTATCAGGCATGGAGTGGGGATGGGCATTATTGCTCTATTTCCACCTAGGGCTTTGACTGGGGGCAGGTAGGATTGGAACAAGATTAAAAAGGGCAAAGATAGGAAGACTGAGTGGGTGTCACTGGATGTCTCTGTGAAGGGATGGGTGCATCTTGGGACTGGAGGCAGGTTCTGGAGGCAAAATGCTATAGCAGAAAAAGGCCTGGGCTTGAAATCCAGGAGAGAGCTGGAAGCCAGTCCTGGCTTTGTCATTAGATAGTTGGGGTTAGGGGATGATTAAACAACAAAGAGCAATAAAACAGGTTACATTTCTTGTGTGTTTTGGTTTGCAAAGTGTTTTCTTCCACACAGTTTTATCTTTCACCTTCACCAAAAGTGCAGATGGCATTCAATGCTTCCCTGTAGATGGTTTCATCATTTACTGTGTCCAGTGTAAATGGACACTTGGATGCCATGCTTCTGGTTATGAACATGATCAGACTTAGCTCAGTTGAGGCTCAGGTGACATGCCATTTGGGGGCTGTGCTTGTAGTCTTCCTAACTTTGTAGGAACTTATGCTACCCTGGCAGAGTTTCCCAGGATTCAAGGTCCCCTCTATGCCATGATGAGATGATGTCCCCATTTTGCAGATGGGAAAACTGAGACTCCAGTAAGGTCATATGGTTCAAGTCACATAGCAAATAAGTTAGATGTAGGCCTTTTGACTCAAACCCTAGTGAGCAGTTGTTTTTGTTGTGTTTTTTTTTCACACTATATCATGCTTCAGGTTAATCTTTCTAAGCCTCAGTTTCTCCATCTGTGAGGATGAGGAAGAGGGAATAATAATCTCTGTCCTATTTACCTCAAAGTGTGGTTGTATGGATTATGTAGGATAAAAGACATGGAATTGCTTTATTGTAGATCACTATACACATGTGAGAGATTGATGTGAGTTACCATTACTGTTACTGTTATTTCCAGGGCAGGCCTAGGCTTACCTGTCACTGGGATGGGGAGCCCTGTCTGGCAGTCCTCAACCTCCGGCATGTCTTCCAGACAATGCAGCCAATCACAAGCAGTGTGGAGGAGGAGAGCAACACCGGAATGACGATCACTGGGGCCTGCAGGCTGAGCACATCTGGGGACGCAGGAGGAGGGGAGAGGCCCATTAGAGATAGGCTGGACAGCTTCTCCAAGGAGAGAGGAGCCTTCTTCTGTCAGTCAGCAAAGACTTGGTGCCCATTCTCACGGCATCCAGTCCTGGGTCTGACTCCACACGGGGGGACTCCAAGAAGAAGGGGACGCAGAAGATACATGCTTCACCTTCTCTTCCCCAGGTCCCCCCTAGGACTTAGTCTTCAGGTCTAGTCTTGTTAAAGAGGTAGGATTCTCTAGTAAACAATATGAATGGTGAGATGGTATTATGTGTAATGCCACAGTGTGCTGATGTGGTAGAAAACCAAATCATGCCCCACACAGAATGCCGAATGTTCTAGTAAACAAAGCATTGGGGTGTGGGGCTGTTGTATTGCTTCCTGGGGAGTCTGAGTGCTGCCCCAGCATCCACAGAGTAATAAAGGAACCAGAGAAAGGCTTGTTATGTCAGGTAGGAGCCTAGGACTTAGACCTTGATGGGGCTTTGAAGATCATCACGTGAGGACACGTAGGCCTAAACAAGGGAATGGATGTGCCCAGGGTCACCTAGGTAGGAGCTCAGGCCCTCTACCTTTAGATGCGGTCATCTTTCTTTCTCTTGTGGAGGTTTTATGGAAAGACAGACAGGAATGGCCCATGATGGTACATCATGGCATGACAATGGTTCGCACCACTGGAAAAAGGAGCCACACAGATGAGGTTACAGTGGCATCCAAACAGTGGGCGAGGGTCGATGTTAAGTGCCAAAGGAGTTAAAGGAGGAAAGGAGGGAGAGAGGGATCTGTCCACACTGGGATTATTAGGGCAAACTTCACAGACCAGGGTGGACATGAGCCTGATCAACCTTGACATTGACATAGGATTTGGATAAAGAAATAGGAGGAAAACACGACAGGCGAAGGAACTCAGTGTGCGTTCGAAGAAGTTCAACACACCCCTTCATTTGTTCAGCTGAAGAGCAGACAATGTCTTTGGAAAGACAAAGACTACAGGGATAGGAGTGGCTGCTAGCTGGGTTCTGGTTTGTGTCCATAGCCTAGTGTAAGGTCAGTGCATTTTGCCATAGTGGCCAAGGCCAGCTGTGCCAGGGACTATCAATAGTTCTTACTCTGGGTGCCAAGGCTTGCTCCATATACACAGTAGCTAATGATTACCTATGGAGGACTCCTCCAAAGTCAATACAGGTCTTGTTGCAGAGGAGGGAGGACACACCTGCCTGCTGAACCCTCAGCTTCCCTGGCCTGGGCTTGAACAGAGCAAATAGGAGCTCCTGGGAGCCCCTGTTTTGTTCCTCACTCTGCCCAAGAGCTTGGCATCAGTTCAGGAAAAAGTAACTATGGCCTGCATGATCCCAAGGGGCCTTTTCTGGTTCCTCTGCTCCATGGCTCTTGGGAATCTCTTACTTTCTCCTCTTTCAAGAATTGGTTTGGTCTGGTAAAAAGAAGCCCAAGTGGGGAATCAGGAGACCAGAGTTCTAGTACCCACTTGGCTACTAACCTGCTCTGCAAATTTAGGTAAGTTTCCTAACATAGCTCAGCCTCACCCTTCTCTTCTATAAAATGCACATAATGCCTGTACTTCCTTTTGAGGAGATAAATTTTGATAATGTGGGTAAAAGTGCCTTGGGGAAAAAATGAACATTTATACAAATGTGAGCTATAATGATGATAACTTTCACAAGGAAGAGAATTTTGTAGTCATCTGATGTCTGGGGGTGGGTGTTGAGAGGGAGAGAAAGCCTGGGTATCCCTCTTGTAGAAAGCTTCAGAATCACTAAATGATATTATTTAATTCTTTTTGGTGTTTAGAACACACCATTGCTGCTTGTTGGTAGAGCTGAGAGGAAGGGGGCCTGTGAAAGGAGGGGAAGGAACCCTAGGGATGCTTTATAGAACACAGACTTAGGGTTATTAGACTGTTGCAGCCGCTCTATGCCAGCTCCTGGATCTCTTCTACCAGCTGGGGTGCTTGTCTGGGAGAACCCCTAGAAGCCAGAGAACTCACTTGACTTATTCCTGACCCCAAGTGGCTGGCTGGGGTGACAGCAGAGGAGGGGAGGACCTCACCTCCTATTGACTAGAGCTGGTGGTAGGCTGAGAGCATATAGCAGTGTTGGCCAGAAATGATCACTGGCCACTGGTCCCACAGGCACAGACTGAGGTAGGGTAGAAGACTCCCAGGAAGCCTGGGCAAGGTAAGGATCCCTACTTACTGCATCGATAGTCGGCACTGGAAAAGTTGCATGGGTGATCAATGCTCATTAGTAGAGGTGCTCCTCAACAGAGTTGTCAGGTACAAGGCAGGGATGAGGCCTCTCCAAAACCTGTGAATGATCCATTAGCCAGAGCCATGAGCCCAGGACTTTCCCAGCTCTGGCCTCACCTCATTCTATTCCATAAAGTACCCTTGGCATCAGAAGTTGACCGTCCTCTCACTTCTTCCTAGCCCCGACTAAGAATCTGGCTTCCAGAATCTGGATCTTCTCCTCCCTGCTGGGCCTGATTTCCCCAATCTCAGCAATGGAAGGGGACCTTAGGGATCATTCACTTCAACCCTCCACCACATTCAAGAATCCTCTTTACAGCATCTTGATGGTGGTTATCCAGGCTCTGTTACAACACACCCAGTGATGGGGAGCTCATTACCTTATATGGCAGCTCATTCCATTGTGGGACAGTCCTGTTGGAAAGTTGATCCTCCGACTAAAGCCTATCAATGAATCTTGATTGGTGTTTTTAAGACAAACCATGTACATTTTGTCTTTGTCACTGTGTATACAGTGGTGTGTTAAGATAGGGGCTCCTGAGTTTCTGGAATTAGAAATAGCTTCAAAAGAAGTTTAGATAAATCCCTGGATGGTGAAGTGTTATCCTTAATAGAAACCATAGGATTGTCTATCTTCTCAAGAGTGACATGAGGGAGGGCCATGCTGGCTTCCCCAAACTTTTCCCTTATGACTGAATTCAGAACTGTAGGGTTATTAGGGCTAACTCTAAGACTGATGATCTTCTAGGTATTTTCCTTATCCGTAAAATTAGAGAGTTTGATGAGATGGTCGTTAAAGTCTCCTCTAGCCCTGACAGTGTCTATTTGAAGGTCCTTTCCAGTTCTAACTTTCTACGTGATTCCCTTCATCCTTATACCTCCAAGGTACAAGGTCAATGGGGGTTTTCATGTGTGCGTCTTAACTTCTTTACTAGACTTTGAACTCCTTGAAAGCAGAGACTGTCTTACTTTGTTCTCTGTTCCCACTCATACCAAACATAAGAGCCCTATCCAGAAAGTATGGTTTGGATTGCTGATGTCCTTTACAATTTTGATATTCTGTGACTTGGGTCCCCTTCAGTCTCTCCCTGACCAGCCTGTGTGAGGCCTCTAATATAACGTCAATAACTACTTCGTTAGGTTAGGACAATACAGGTCCACATTACAATGACTGGAATGGTGGACTGAATCTCTTCATAGGGCCTGGATCTAGAGGGACCTTTGAGATGATCTGATCCAACCCTTTATTCACAGTGAGGATGGAACTTTTCCAAAGTAGCTGGGATTTGAACCCAGGTTCTCTGATTCCATAACTGTTTCCCTGTCACCACTAATAAGATAAATTTAATAGGGATAAATGTGAAGCCCTGTGTTTTAGGTTCACAAAGCCCACTGTACAAGTAGAAGGTTGAGGAGACACATATGGGCAATAGTTCACATGAAAAGACTTAGGGGCTTCAGCAGCCTGCAAGTTTACTGAGTTGATAGTGTTAACGTGGCAGCCAGAAACATTGATGCCAACAGACTCTGTTATTCAAAAACAGTCTCCAGAATAAGAGAGGTGAAAAGCCACACCGTCTTCTGTCCTAGGCAGACCAACTTGAAAGTATTATGGCCAGTTCTGGCTGCTACCTTCTAAGAAGGACATCCAGGGGAAGGTGAACAGGATGTTTGGGGGACTCACACAATGAAAGGAACTGGGACTGTTTGGCTTGGACTTAGGGGAATATGCTAGCTGACTTCAAAAATTGGAAGGGCAACCATGTGGAACACGGATTAGGCTTGTTTGATTTGGCCCCAAAAAGCAGAATGAGGAGCACTGGGACTAACTTGCTTGAGAAGCAGATTTGAACTCAATGGAAGGAAAATTTCAGCTGTCAGAAAGTGAAATGGGGACTTTGGGAGGCAGTGAAGTCCCCCATCGCTGGGCGTGTTAAAGGGAGGATTGCTGAACGCTGCTCTCGAGTCCAGTTGAGTCCAGTTGGGACACTGGATCAGTAAGTTGTGACTGGGGGGCGGGGGCTGAGGTGAGATAGCTCTGGTTTACAGGCTAGACAGGGAGGACAGATCCAGGTGGGGCACTGTACTGGGGGCTCTGGGGAAACCCTAGGGACCTGAGCAGAAAACGAAGAAGGAAATGGAAGGGGAAGTGGCCCTGAAGATTCCAGAGACCCTTCTAGTGCCTCTCCCCATATCCCCTCTGCTTAAAGAGACAGCTGTTCTACACTGTGTCCCTGGTTAGAGAGGGAGCTCCTTCGACCCTATAAGGGGTAGGGTCTTGGGAGTCCCAGGCCTTTCTGAAATTAGAGAAGGATCTACGCTACTGGCTTTTTCTCTGAGAAAAAAAAAATCCCAGAGCTTCCAGATCAGCCTTGAGATCCCACGGCTTCCCTACTACAGTGCTATGGGCACAAAAAGCCTCCAGGGTCCAAATCCACTACTTCCCCTCCATCACCCCAGCCATCCCTATTCCCAAGTCTTCCCAACACCCACCTGGGAATCCCTGAAGCTCCAGTGATAGGCTCAGGCTAGGCCAGGGATGGGGGTGTAGTCCCCTTCTGTGGCTGCTGCCTCAGCTTACTCCTGCTTCTGCTCCGGCTCTGGGCTTGGTTACCAATGTACCAGGTGAGGGCAGGTGCTGACTCTGTCCTTGAGGGGCGGGGCCTCTCTAAGAGTCAAGCCTGCCCCCTAGAGGAGAGGGCTTGGAAGGACCTCGTGTGAGGACCAGTCAGCCCTTCAAGCAACCCACTGCACCAGAGAAGGAAGGGATGGCTTGACCTGTGTGGTAGGGTCCTTCTGTTGAGCCTGGACCATGAACCTCTTGCTTCTTCTCAGGGCTCTCACACATCAGAGATCTTTCAAGATTTCCCTGGAGTGTGAAAGCAGAGTCAGGTGCCCCTAGCACTAGCTGTCAAATCAACTAAGGCTTTAGCACGGTCACTAGGAGAGGGGATGCTGACAATTCCTAACTAGGAATTAGAGCAAATGACTTAAAGTAATAAGAGGGCACATTTATATGACCATCTCTGGTTACAAACAGCAATCCTCTGAGGTAGATAGTGTAGAGATTACAGCCCCATGTATAGTTAGGAAACAGAGATTCGGAGAATCATGGAGCTGGATGGTCTCTGAACTGGACAGAACCAAAAAGAGGTCCTGTATTACACCCTATGCCTGGGCAGGAAATTTTCTCTATGAATTTGAAGGCAAGCAGTATCTTGCCTATTCTTGGAAACCTCCATTGATGAGGAACCCACTATTTCTTGTTAGCTATGTTAAGAAGTTTTTTCTTATATTGATCTGGGCTATTCATATTCCTGAAATATCTGCCTTGCTAAACATCTCTAGTTCCTTTGGATGATTCACAGGTGGCCTGGTTTTGAGGTACCTTGCCTTCTTTACTCTCTGGAGATGTGTTCTACCTTGCCAATGTTCTTTCTAAAACATGGTGACAATGCACACGTCTCCCTCTGGATGTGGTCTGATTATGACAGAATACAATGACAGGCTATCTCACTCTTGATTAGAGCGAAGGGTGACTGACAGACAACCTAACCATAGTCTACTGACATTCACGAGATGTCAGAAGGCCTGAAGAAGATCCATGACTGTTGTAGAGAATTTATGGGAGGAGAAGGCATGGAAGGGTTACCATCTGTACCCACTGGAGAGAGGGCTTGCGTCAGTGAGATCGCAAAACCATTGCAATATGGAAATATTCCTCTAGTCATAGAAGCATTATACTGGTTTTGGGGGTTACCAGGCCATATTTGACTCATGTTGAATTTGCAGTCTACTAAAACCCTTAGGTCTTTTTCATTCATGAATAGCTAGCTATTTCCTTGACTTGGTTTGTATGTTTGTTTGATCTAAGTGTAAATTTTACATTTACACTTATGAAATGTCATCTTATTGAAGCTTAAGTATGTTGTCTAAAATCACACTGAGCTGGAATTTGAACCTAGGACTATGGTCTAGTGTTCTTTTCACATATCACACTGCTTCTTAATCTCCCAGCCTGTCCTGAGAGCTGGGGTTCCTCGGCTGCTGAAGGGGAGAAGGAAGAGCAAGAATGTCCACCAGTGACAGGTGTGATGGGAAGATCATTGGGCTGAGAATGGGCAGACCTGGGTCTGGGACCTTCAGTTATTCAGTGCCCTTTCCCAAGCCTTAGTCTGTCTACCTAGAAAATGAGAGGGTTTGTATTGTGCTAAAGTCCCTTCTCTCTCTAACTCTGTATTCTAAGGCTTCTTCCAGCTTTAACATTCTATGTCCAAAGTTCCTGTGACTTTTTGATATTCTCTATTCTAAGGGCCCTCCCAGCTCTAACATTCTATGTTCTAAGACTCCTCGCAGCTCTCACATCCTGTGTTCTAAGGGCCCTCCCAGCTCTGACGTCCTGTGTGCTAAGGCCCCTCCCAGCTCTGATGTCCTGTGTGCTAAGGGCCCTCCCAGCTCTGACATTTTGTGGTCTAAGGTCCCCCTTGGCTCTGACATTTTCCATTCTAAGGACCTTTCTGGCTCTTTGGCTTCATGATTTTGCCTCCCAGTCTGGCCTAGCTTGGAATTGCTTCCCCAATCCTCAGAGCAGTCTGGGGGCAGGATCAGGAAGAAGCCCACCACATTCACATTTGCCCTGACTTCAGAGACCACTGGAGAAGTTTCAGAAAGCCCTTTTCCTGCCTCAATGAGCCCCCTGAACATCAAACCTGAGCCTTCTGATCCCAGGTTCTTAACTCACAGAAGTAAGGGTGAGAAGTCGGGGTGGGGGGGGGAAGCACAGAGTCAAGAGTCTAGGACAGAGCTGAGGGAGCAGGGGAAGGGGCCTTTGGAGCAGGAGCAGTCAGCTCCAGGGTAGTCAAGTTCTCCCCAGGGGGCATGGAGCTCTATCCCTAGAGCCTGTTTTTGTTTTGCCAGGTGGTTTATATGGTTGTTTTCTGTCCTTGCAGAACCTCCAGAGAGAAGGTCCCAAAGTAATATGGGCCTGTCCGGCTCTAAATCTATGGATCCTAGAACTTCAACACTTTTGGCAAGGTATTAAATGACTCCATTTGTTTTCAAATCTGTCATGCAATATGTGAGATGGAATCAGAAGTGAGGAGCAAAGCTGGCCCCCCTCTTCTGGAGGAGGAGGATTGGATGAAACCGGCCTAGTTAGTTACTTCCCTGACCCTACTAAGTGGGGGCTGGGAGATAAAACAGCTCCATCTTTGCCTGGGGAGAGAATTCCTTTGACAAAGTGTTTGTGGGTGGGCTGGAGTTTCTCCAAGCCCCATGGGGGGGAGTCAGACATCGGGTGGGCCTGTGGGGAACTGCACTGGTGGGTTTCCTTATACAGCCACGCCTCCTCCCTGGGTCAGTGGATCCCAAATAGAATTCAGTGCCCTGTAACCAATACCTGCAGACAACCAAGGCCTCTCTGCTCTTTCTGATTGGTCCTCTTATCTCTGGCCACCCTCATCACTGTGGCTCCACTCATTTTGCTGAGGCAGGACCTCAAGGCCAAGAGCAAAGACATTCTTCCCTCTTAGATTTATTCTTGTCACTTCTCCACTCCCTCCCTCCACCCCCAGTGCGTGTGCGCGCACACACACACACACACACACACACACACACACACAGAGGACTTACCTGGTATTACAATGACTTATCTCCTTATCATCAGATATAAACATTATAGTTCCATAGACTGAGCTAGAAGGGACCTTACCTTTTGAGATTACCTGGTAACTCTTTCGGCTGCTGCTTAAAACCATCTGAGGCTTTTGTACCAATGATCAACTCCTATCTCTGTTTGGCAGACCTTTTCGCCTGGTCACCTTCGTGACTTTTTACCTTTCAAGGCTGCCTCAGGTTTTTCTTGTAACCTGTCACTTAGCCATGTTGGAGACACAGTGTAATTTGTCCCAGCCACATTCCCTGCCTTTGGGAACGACCTTCCCGCTAATCTATGTGTCCATTTGACAGTCAGCTCCTCCAAGAAGCCTCCCCCCAACTATCTTGCACTCGAAAGCCTTCCCCTTCAGATTCTGGTTAGATTATAATAATACCACATTAACATACTGCTTTAAGATTTACTTAGCATCTTCCTCTAAGTTAGATGGCTTGAGGACCATCATCCTCATTTTACAGATCAAGAAACTGGGATGTAGAGAGATGGAACAGTTTCCCTGACTACACACAACTGGTAAATATTGGAGCCAGGATTTGAATCCACTTAAATTTCCCCTGACTCCAAGTCCAAGGCAGCCAGACCCAATTTTGGACTTGGAGGCGTGAAGATCTAAGTTCAAATCCCAGCTCAGACACTTAGGAGCTGTGTAACCCAAGGCAGATCATCCTCTCTGAGCCTTAGCTTCCTCATCTGTAAAATGGGGATGCTAATAGCACTGGCATCTCAGGGTCACTGTAAGGATCAAATGAGATAATAATGCACAGAAAGTGCTTTATTTACCTTGAGATGCTAGACAAATGTGAGCTATTCTTATCCAACTGGGCCTTTCAATATTCTTTGCTACTGAGTACTTCATAATTGTTTTCAAGTCATTTCACTTAATTATCCTTTTTTCCCCTCTCCCTCTGTGCCTAAACAGTCAGAACCTCCCCCCCCAACCCACCCTGGTCTTGTTTCTTTTCCACTCCTCCCTCCCCATTTTCCACTCTCACACATAGTGCCTGGGGCTGAGCTGCTTGTGGATGAGCCTGCCTCCCTACTCACCTTGGCAGCTGTGGAAACAGTGGTGGTCAGGATTCATGGGGAGAGGCAATGGGGAGAGGGCTGGGCCAGGAGTCACGTGAGTCTACCATTCATTAGTTGTCAGCTAATCTAAGCCTGGATTTTCTCATCTGTAAAATTGGGGCTAAATCCTGCCCTGTCAGGTTCTCCCTGGGAATAGGCCTTTAATAAGCAAGTATTGGGAAGGAAAACATTCACTGAACAAAGCAACCACTGACCTGTGTCCATGTTCCCATTGCTTGCTCTGCTCATTGTCTAGACTTGCACCTGATCACCTGTACCCATACTGGTCTGCTGGCCTACCCCATGCCCTGCCTGCATTGCTCTGCCTGCCCAGAGCTCTTGGCTCCTGTCCTCAGCCTGGACTCTCCTTACTTGGTGTTTCTGACTACAGTTCTCTTGCCTCTCTCTGAGGTAACTCCATCATTCAGCATCTCTGGAATTTTGTGTTGTTTTTAAACTCAAGCTTACTTCTTCCCTTGCCAATCTGGTTTCTACTGCATTTCCTCCATTCTCCACCTCTTCCTAGCTCTGGCCCCATGAGCTCTCTGGCTCTCTCTGCAGGTGGGCATTCTGTGAGAAGGGGTCTGCAGTTGTAAGATGTTCTCCAGATGTCGAGCTCTTACGATGACACCCTTAGGCCCTTCCTCCAGTCTGTGCCCTTTGCCCTCTTAGTGATACCTCCCCTTACTCTTCTGAGTTCTCATGCTTTCTCTGCTGTTTGAAACCTGCTTTCAGGAAAGGATTTGAACAGTTCCATCATGCTAAGATGTGAGGAGGAGAGATTCTGTGGGAGATCTTCCCAAGCCCTTGAGATCCAACTCTATTTTATTCTAAAGGGCCACCAGATGACAGGCTCTATGGTGATTCCTAACCGCCTAACAACCTTAAGTGAGAAGCTTCTTTTTTGGGCAGCTATGTCCCCCAAGGGTGGCTGATAATCTAAAGACTTCCTGGTTATGCTTTGGCAGCCTGGTCACAGATGGTGAATTTCTGAATCTTGATCGACAGGGATGAAATCCAGTTTAGTCCAACAGGCATTTATGAAGGTAACCCAGCCCCAACTAGGGTTAGATGCTGAGTAGGGTAAGGGAGTCTAACCTCAGACAGAAAGTGAGAGGGAGGGAGCCCCTCTCAAAAGAGAAATTGGACAAAGCAAGAAGAGGGGAGGAGGTTAGGAGAATGAGTCCAACTGAGGCTTGGAGACTTTGCCTATGGTCAGAGGTCCCTCCTCATTGAGAAAAACAAACCATAACATCCCATGACTTTAATATTGTACAAACGCGCCATTGGTCACAAAACGGATAAAGTAACCTTTTTTTTTCTTTCTTTTTTTTCTTTATTATAAATATTGCATTCTGGGGAGTGAGGAGGATCAAAGAATGAGGGGAAGGAGAGAGAGGTTGTACAGGCACTGGGCCCAGCTTTCCCAACCACGTCCCTCCAGAGCAGCTCCTTCCCTTGGGGAACCCCCTAAGCATTCCCATTCTACTGCATGTTCCATTGCTGCCCTAGGGTCCCGAGGAGACCAAGTGGGACTGCTGATTATTAGGCACACTGGGGTGAGGATATGGGGGCTCTGAGCCATGCCATAATGTTGTTTTCCCATGAGCTAAGATGTTTCAACTCCTGGTCTCACTTTGTGAATACTGGTGATTTGAGAATGGATCTCAAATTTGCCTGAAAGGATCTGGCCCTGAAATGACTAACTGGGCAACCAGGGGCTGTGGTCACAGCTAGAAACAGTTTCAGGTGTCAGGGAGAAGAAGGAAATCTCAGTTTTGACTTAGGGGGGTAAAGCAGTCCCCCTTTCTCCCTGAGAATTCAGAGCTGCCGTGGGTAGAGTGATTTGAGCTGGGGGGAATGAGGAAGGCTTGGCCCGATTCTGACAGCAGCAGGGCTTAGATATGGACGGAGGATCCTTCTTTTCCTGGAGCGGACCTCCTTGGAGCCCAGGCTGCTGGGCAGGCCTGCCATGCAAAGTCAGCTACCGAAGATCAGCCCCTGGAAGTCCTTTGGCCCGTCCCTCCCACACAAAGCCAAAAGCTCTGTGGTTTTGTAGGGATAAGTGAGGCACAGCCTAGACTAGGCTACAAGTCATTGATTTCACCAGGACTGGGCCTGGGGCCTATCCCAAGGCTTCTTTTCTTCTTGCTAGATACTTGGAGTCCTTGATCTGGGGACCAAGAGTTAAATATAAAGAGATCTGCTCCTCCAAAGCCTCCTTAAAGTATACTTTGTCCTCATCTTTAAGCTCCATTTGAAAAGCCAAGCTGAGGGTCAGGTTGACTGCCATGATATCTTCTCACCAAAGAAACAATCCTATACTCAGAGCTAATGTCCTTATTCCTCCAATCCTGTCTCTTCCCATAATGGCCCCACATCCTGCCCTTTGGCAGTCTTCTTTCCCAAGCCCCACATCTTTCTCTAAAATCTCTGAGCCTGGGACAGGGGGTCCATGTACTGTCTCACCTACCAAGACTAAACCTCCAAGGGGCTGGCATTGAGAGGGCTCCCGAGGGGCTCTCATTCCTGTGAGGCACTGTGTTGTTTCACCCTCATGCTTGAGAAATATGCTAGCATGGAGGGAACCTGCAGCCTACGTGATCACGAGAGGCTGCTGTTCTGAGGGGCTGTGAGAACTACAATGTGCATAGTCCATGGAAAAATAAGAAAAACACTGCTGAGGAATCTGGAGTAGGTGGGGGGGTTTGGAGCTCTCAGGCCTTGAGAAATTCCCTTCTCCACCTAGGAGTCAGTAATGGCTGCTGGCCAAATGGGGATCAGGGTCAGGTCACAACCCCTCTGGTTGAGGGGGAAATGTGTGATCCCTGCCCAGGTGATGGGCAAGCCTCAAGCTGTCCAGGGAGAAGTGCCTTCTCTAGCTCCCTGAGGCTGCAGACCACTGGGGCAGCCACCAGCCAGCAAGGCCCCAGCAGCAGACGTGCCAGCCCGAGTGGATGGCAAAGGAAGCGCGGTAGCTGATCCCAGAGACCAGGGGAGGAGACAGCGTTCCGTTCCTCCTTCCCAGCCGCGAGTTCTGCTTCAGGGAGCCGGCACTAAATGCGCACTGTGTTAATGCGCAGCGGCTGCACGTTCTTGCCATTGGCGTGGCTCTGACCCGGACTGAAGTAGGAGCAGAGCTTCCCTGGAAACTTCTCCCGGAAGGTGTATAGCCATGACATATCATCTGCATTGTAGAAGATGAGGAGTCCCTTGTCATAGTCCAAGAAGACGCCCACCTTCTCCAATTTGTTCTTGACATTGAGCCGGGTCCAGGGCTCCGTACAGGCGCTGTACTGGTTGCCGTCATGCATGACGATGCAGTAAAAGCCGCGGCTGGGCTGGATTTGGATGCTGCCCTTGCGGCTGACAGCCTCATGAGCTAGCCCAATCATCCACTGTGTCTTTTCTGACACCACTACCTCCCAATAATGGACGCCGCTGCCAAACGCCTCCGAGCCCAATACAGACACCTCCACGTCGAAGCGCTTGGGTGAGTCCTGCAGGGGCTGGGGGTGGAGGTTCCCATAGGCTACAATTGTGCAGTCATCAGACAGGATGAGTCGCTGATGGGCCGTGACAGGATCCAGGGTGAGAGCAGCCGGGACTGTGGAAGGAAGGAGAAAGGACGTGAGGGAAGGGATCCATCGTGACAGATCCGTGACCACACAGCCACTCACTGCAGACAACAGTCATTCTTAATGTCTACGCAGAACAGACTGGGTAACACTGTAGCTAGGTTGGTAGTTTGCTTTCATCACCTTGTGGAAATTTATTAACTCCACTATATACTTTTTCCATTGTATGGAACCTGGAACCCAGCAAGGTTCCAAGGTTGGGAGGAAAGGTTATTTGAAAATCAAAATGCTTAATTACCTCTTTAAGGCAGCAAGAGGAATAAAGAGTGTTCTAGGCTAGAGGTCTTACTACCGAGCATATACCCCAAGGAGTTCAAAGACAGAAAGCAAAAGAGACATATAGACCAAAATATTAATGGCAACAATTTTTTTTTTTTGTGGTAGCCAGAAAAAAAATCGGGAACAAAGTTGGCGTCCATTAAATAGGGAATGGCTGAACAAACTCAAACTATGGCATGTGAATGCAGTAGAATATTATTGTGCCACAAGAGATAATAAATGTGAAGAATTCAGAGAAATGTGAGAAAATACGGATTGAGGGTACAAGCAACACAAGCGAAACCGGAAGAGCAACACATGCATCCCTCACTTGGCCCACCCATTCGCCTCCCCCACACTGTCTTACATCTTTCCTTTTTGTGGCTAAATTCCTGGAGAGGGTACCTCCACTTCCTCTTCCTCTCCCCCTTCTCTCTTAACTCAACAGTCTGGCTTCCAACCTCATCATCCACCTGAAACCCCTCTTTACAAAGACCAAAGATCTCTTCATGCCCAGATCTAATGACTTTTCCTCTATCCACGTTCTCCTTGACCTCTCTGTAGATTCTGACCCTGTAGATGGTATCACCTTCTTCCTTTGATGCTCTCTTCTCTAGGTTTTTGAAATACAGCTCTCTCCTGGTTCTTTCTCCTTCTTCTTCTCTGGCTACTCCTTCTCAGTCCCCTTTGCTAGATTTCCATTCAGACCAAGCTCTGTCCTGGGCTCTCTTCTCCCTTCATACTATTTTGCTTAATGATCTTATCAGCTCCTGTAGATTCAATTATCATCTCTATGCTGATGATTCTTCCATCTACTTATCCAGCCTTAACCTCTCTCCAGTCTTGCATCTCCAACTGCCTATTGGGAATCTCAAACTGCATGTCCCACAGATTATAAGCTCTTTGAGGACAGAGGCTATCTTGGGATTCTTTTTGTATCCCCAGTGCCTGGAACACAGTAAGCTTTAATAAACGTTGACTGTTTGATCTTAAACTCAACTCACCTAAAACTGAACTCATTATTTCTCCCCACCCTAATTCTCCTCGTCTTAACATGCTGTCATTGCAGAGGGTACCACCATCCTCTCAGTCACCCAGACTAACAACCTAGGTGTTATACCTGACTCCTCATTATCTCTTACCCTCCTACACAATCCATTGCCAAGTCCTATCAATTTTACCTATCACTCTTGTATGCCCTCCTCTTTCCTCTGACATGGCCACCACCCAGGAAAGGGTCCCTTTTCCCCTCATGTCTGGACTAGTCTGACAGCCTGGTCAATCTCCCCACTCTAGTCCATTTTCCATTCAGCTGTCAAATTGATTTTCCTAAAACACAGGTCTGGCCATGTCATCCCCTTTTTCAATACACTCCAGTGGTCCCCTGTCACTTCCGGGATCAAATGCAAACTCCTGTGTTTGGCTTTTAAAGCAATTTATAACCTGGCCCCCTCCTACCTTTCCAGTCCTCTTATACTTTATTCCCCTCCAACGGACAATTTGATCTAGTGATGTTCCTTGCTGTTTCTCACAGAAGACGTTTCATTCCTTCACTCTGCATTCTCTCTGGCCGTCCTCTGGGCCTGGAATGCTCTCCCTCCTCCTGGCTTCCTTCAAGTCCCCAGCTAAAATCCCACCTTCTAGGAAAAGTCTTTCCTGATCCCCCTTCATGCTAATGCCTTCTCTCTGAGATTATCTCCAATTTATCCTGAACATATCTCATAATACATAGTTGTTTACATGTTGTCTCTCCCTCATTAAACTGTGAGCTCCCTGAGGGCAGGGATTGCTTTTTTGCCTTTCTTTGTATCCCCAGCACTTAGCATGGTGCCATAATGGGTGCTTAATAAATGCTTATTGAGTTAATTTGACAATGACTATAATAATGTAAAGAAATGAAACTTGAATGAAGGCAAATGGTCATTTTGATGACCAATCTTGGCTCTGGAGAAGAGATAAAGATGCCTCTCCCTTCTTTTGGCAGAGAAGTGGCGGCCTATGGATATGGAATGTTGCATATGCTGTTGTTGGTTTTGCTGGATTCTTCATTACAAGAAGAATGAGATGGTAATAAAGAGAGCATGTGTATAAATTAATGGGATGTAAAAATGAAAACTTCCAATGACACAATTTTTTTTAATCAAATAAGGAGAGACAGATCCATAGATTGGAAATGGAAGGGAATGCAGAAGTCATCCAATCCAACCCCCTGTAGTTTACAGATGAATCTGAGGCCCAGGGAAGGGGAGTGACTTGTTCAAGGTGACCCGGGTTGTTAGTGAGCTTTGTTCAGACCAGGGCTTGACATGGATCTCAGAGGGGATGCATTCCATTCTCAGTACACATGGGGAAAGAGCAGTGAGTGAGATGGGGGGGGGAGGGCAAGGCTTTGATGGGAAAGCCAGCGGGGCTGGCACCAGAGGCCCTGCTGCCAAACTGTGGGGTGCTCCCTGGGGCATGATGGAATTTCACTCACTTGGGTTGGAGCCATGGCTCTGCTTCTTAAAAAACAAACCACAACAAAAAGCCTGGACTCAGCTTCCATTTCAAAAGGGTCAGATTTGGTGGCTGTGGTGCATAGTAGCACTGGGCCTGGAGTCAGGAAGACTCATCTTCATGAGTTCAAATCTGGCCCCTGACACTTACTAGCAGTGTGACCTTGGGCAAGTCACCTAACTTCTGTCTGCCTCAGTTTCCTCATCTGTAAAATAGGGATGATGATAATAGCATCTACTACACAGAGGTGCTGTGAGGATGAAATGAAATAACATATGTGAAGTGCTTTGCAAACCTTAAAGCTTTATATAAACACAATTATTATTATTAATAATTACACCGCTCTTCATTGACACAGATAGTCAAGAACTGATTGCTGCATCCTAAAACACAAGGTATATGTCATGGCTAAGTACCAAATTGCAACTAACGTCTATAATAGTCCTTACTAGAATTAGATAGATCTCCACTTGCATGTCTACTTACCACAGGTAGCCATTGGTTTAAATAAGTTTCTTCCTGGCACACAGTAAATACTTAATGAATGCTTTCAGTCATTCATTCCTTTGACCATGACCGATTTACTAAATTAAAGTGCTTATATTACAAAGTAAATTTGATTTTCATGAGTTTTGCATTTCACACCAAAAAGTAGCTTTGGTGAACATTCTTTCTTGGTCTGAGAATACTCATCAAGGGCAAAGGCAGCATTAAAATGGTTAGCCTAATCAACAAAAGTATAAGCAGAAACACAATTCTCTAATCTGCCGTTTTCTCTTCTCATGCTGTGGACGTGTGCTGTAGTTCAGTGAAGGACAAAACCCATCAGACGAACACGTTTGTAATAATATCCTCCTTGCTATACCACCCCCAGCACATCAGGGAGAGTGAAGCCTAACAAAAAAGACACAGTCCCCAGTTTTCCTGGGCCTCAGCTTTTTATTTTTAGAAGAATCCTTGCTTCAGCTCTTTTTTTTCCATGAGTTAAGGTGAAGATTCATGGGTTAGAAGCTGCAATATGTTTTTGTGTTTCTTGGAGACTGACTATATACAAAGGTAAGGTGGCAGTGTTATCACTGCCATTAGGAGTCACCCCCCCCCACGTAAGAAAAGGGCTGTTTCTGTGTCAGAGGTGACAGACCAGAGTTGACAACTGTGCCCTGTGGCCCACATTTCCCCAGATCAGTGCAGTATTCCACAGTAGCTAGGCTGATGCTTACATGCCTTCACTGTTTACCAGCCCCCTTAACTAAAAAAAAAAATCTGCCTCAGTAACATGTCTGTTCCTGAGATGACTATATGATTTCTAAAAAAGAATTACAAGTTGACAGGCATTTATTAGGCACCTGCGATGTGCCTTTAATATGTCAGCACTCCTCGGGATAGTCTTCAGGGGCCCTGGATGTGGCCTCTCCAGAGGGCCATGGGCTCAGAGATTGTTTGCAGTTGGAAAAGCTTCTAGTCACCAGAAAATGCTTTCCAGGCTCCCCACATCCTGTGGGACAAAATCGGACTTTTCTGCAGCATTCCAAGCTGCTGAGGAATGCTTGCCCGGAGCCGATGAAGGCCGGGCCCCCAGAGACAGTTCAGAAAGGGACTAAATGCTCTTTGTTCCCGGGCTTGCTGAGTTGGAGGCAGGATGGGAAACGGAAGCATCCCTTGAAGTGGATGGAACTTTGTCTGACCCCGAGATTCCCTGGCATGTCAGCATTTTAATAGGCAAAGTGGGGCAGCAGAGAGGAATGACGAGGGGGAAGAGAGAGAGAGAGAGAGAGAGAGAGAGAGAGAGAGAGAGAGAGAGAGAGAGAGAGAGAGAGAGAGAGAGAGAGAGAGAGTGAGTATTAGGTTAGGAAATATAGGGGCTTACTGGATGATAACACATCCTCTGCCACCTCCCACATTGCTGGCTCAGCAGGAGGAGAGTTCAATCAAGTCAAGGAGACAGACATTTATTAATCACCAGGCACTGTGCTGATTGCTGGAGGTGCTAAGCTCAGCCTACTTCTTCCTTCCCAGGGCTACTTCCAAACCATTCTTATGACACCAACATGGAGATAAGAAGAAGCGATATAAGGACACTCTCAAGCTCCTCTTGTGAGACATGGGAGACACTGGCACAGGACCACCCAGCATGGCATGCCCACATGAAAGAAGGTGCTGTGCTCTATGAGCAAAGCAGAATTGCAGTAGCTCAAAAAAAAAACCATGTGAGATGTGCAAATTTAGATGTGCAAATGTTCATGTGGACTGTTTGTGTCTGACCCATGGTAGAACATTCTGAGCTCATGTTGGTCTGGTCAGTCAGACACACTATACCTCGACCCCAATGTTGTGATGTCATTTTGGTTCTCTCTGAGCATGAAAGACAATCACCAAAGACCCTAAAATGCTCCTCTTTCAAGGTTCCCACCAAGTAACTTAGGCCCCCCTTCTCCACTGTCATTGACCACTCTCTATGACCCTTCCACTGTCCCTGATGGCTTCAGATCCTGGCTCATGTTTCCTCTCCATCCAGTCTCCTGCTATCATCCCCAGTAAGCTCAAAGTCCATCCAACTTCTCAATGTCCAACTAGCTTCTCAGCATTCAAGCCCAACTGTGGGTTTCATCTGACAACCTCTAAGGTCCTTCCAACTCTGAGATTCCAGGATTCTGTGAACACTTCAATTCTGCAGACTTTCATGCTTACTGTTGGACTGTCAAAAGATAATTTCCCACTTGGGAGGGGAGGATCCTGAAAAGGCTTCACAGGGTGAACATTCTATTTATTAGCTGTCTCTATTGGGTATATAATAGTCAGGCTTTAGAAAGAAACCCTATTCCTGTGGTTATGGGTTCCGGTATTTTTTCCCAAGTGCTGGATACACAGCACAGTGCCTGGCACGTTGTAAGTGCTGTGGAAATGTTGGCTGTTATTATTGTTTGTTCCCAGATCTCACCTGAATCTGTGGTATCATTTTCTACTTCTTTGCCATCCTTTCTGGACTCTCACTTATAATGAACTTCATTTTTGTCCTCCCCACCAATGGGAGGCAATGAAACATGGTGGATAGAGTACTGGAATTGGAGTCAAGAAGATCTGAGTTCCAATAGTTAATAGCTGTGTGACCCTGGGCAAATCACTTATGATCTCTGAGCCTCAGTTTCCTCATCTGTAAAATGAGGGAGAGGTTGGACTACATGGGTGCTAAGATCCCTTTTACCTCTAAATCTATGATCCTGTGATCTGCTTATAAATCCTGGCTCTGTCACTTACAATCCATGGCTCCATTAGATTGTAAGCTCCTTGAGGGCAGGGACTATCTTTTGCTTCTTTTTGTATCCCTAGCACTTAATACAGTCCTTGGCACACGGCAGGCATTTAATAAATGTTTATTGACTGCCTGGTGAGATCTCGGGCAACTCATTTAACTTCTCTGAGCCCTCAGAATCTTCATCCAGAAAATGTGGGGGTTGGTCTAGATGATTCCAGCTTTAAGCCATAATCCTGATCCTTGGACTCTGAACCTGGGCCATTTCTGCTACTTCATTACCTCCCTTATGGCTTAGAGGCACAGACTACTGAAGCTGGAAGAGACAATATAGTCTAGGGGTCCTTCACTCTTCTGTGTCCCAGGCCCCTGGGGCAGTGTTAGGTGATGCCTGCAGACCCCTCCCTTCTCAGAATCATGTTTTTAAATGCACAGAATAAAATGCATAACATTACAAAGAAAGCCAAAGGATAGTGAAAATAAAGATGTGATTTCTCCCCCAAGTCCACAGAATTGAAATCTATCCACAGACCCGTGGGGCATCTGGAGAGCCCCAGTTAAGAGACTCTGATCTAGATCAACCCTGCCATTTTACGAAGGAGGAAAACGAGAACCAGAAGGAACTTGTTCAAGATCACATAGAAATGAAGCTAGTTGAATGAGGAATCGAACCTTGGTTTTTTGTTCACTGTAGCCTTTCACTATTCAATCCCCTAAAAGGAGCTCAGCAGCAGTAATTGACCAGCTGAAATCCATCCCCAGACTCGGCATGGCAGACAAGCCTTTGCAAAGCTGGCCCTGCTCCGGTGCCTAGAACTGTTCTTCCCTCCTCGTGTACATCTCTTAGAATCCTTAGCTTCCTTCAAAGTTTGGCTTGTGTGATGCCTTCTGAGAAGGGAAGGGCTTTCCGATTTCCTTGATGCCCTCTCCTGAAATTATCACATCTATACTTATCTGGTTAAATGCAGTATGTTCCCTGTGTGCCCTTTCTCCCCCAGCCCTAATAGGACAGAAACTCATTAAATGCCAGAAAAGCTTCATTTTTGCCTTTTAATCCCCAGTGGCTGGCACGCAAATACCAGGTGATCAGTAGATGCTCACTGGATTGGACTGGAGTCCAACAGTTTCAGCAGCGAGACTAAGGAGATTTAGGTGACTGGCGGCTGCAACAGGGAATGGAAGCAAAAGACTCAGAAGGGGCGCATGTGGGCCAGAGAAGGGGCTGCTAGCTTATTCTCTCAGACACACTGGGACCCCTCCCTCAGGGGCCCAAGAAAGGGGAGGAGACGGAACCTTCCTCTGCAGCAGCTCCGGCATCCAGGCTTCCTCTCCAGTCTCACTCTAGAAACACAAGGCTCAGTTCCTGGATAGCTTACATGCTACTTGGGGAAATGTCTCTCACACATAAGTAAACACTTGCAAAGCAACATGCAAACAAAAGCCAATTAAAATAATTCAAGTAGTGCCAAGGGACTGGAGGGTAAATGAGGAATCAGTGTGAGATGGGGATAATCAGGGAAGGCTTCCTAGAATAGATGAGTCTGAAGAAGGGAGGGGGGAACAGGAATTCACAGGAAGGAGAGGGAAGGGCATCTCTTGGGTCTTTTCCGAGGAATACCTGCAAAGAAATGGTGTGGAAAGGAGGCTTCTGTGACCAGAGGCCTAGACTGGCCATAGCAAGAAGATTTAAGAGAGCTGAGCCCAACAAGTAAGAGAAGGCCTGGAATGGTGGGCAGAGGGGTCTGGATTAGGGTGCCACCGTTGGCTCCTGAGCAAGTAGGTGAGAGCCGGTAAGAGCTGACTGGTATATAGCAAGTGCTTGATGAAGATTTGCTTGTTGACGTGACATTTATATAGAACCTCAAAGATTACAAAGCCCTTTTCTGTGTATCACTCACTGAAGCCTCGTAATGACCCAGTGAGGTATTACTGTCTTCATTTTACAGACAGGGAAACCGAGGAGACAGGGAGCGACTAACTTGTGAGTCACACAAAAGCAAGACTCAAACCCGGCCTCTTCTTGACTCCAGGGAGGATAACTGCCTTGAGCAAGGAGCCCGAGGAAGATCATTGCACCTGACACGTCTACAATCATAAAGCGGATGGGAGCTCGGGAGAGATCTGAGACCTTCTGGGATCCTACTGTGGTAGGCAAGGAGGGGGAAGGTCTGGACAAAGCCGGCGGCAGAAGAGAAAGAAAGGAAGGTGGTGAGTCTAGGCAGCCCAGGAGAGCTTTCTGAGGGGAGCCACAGAAACCCTGAGCTCCCAGGGCGCCCCTCTTTCCAGTTGTATTTTACAATAATGTTCATTTCTGCACATGGCAGTCATGCCATAATCTTCAGTGAGTGTCTCTTGGATGAATGAACCTTAGTTTGTTTCTCTGGAAAACAAGGGGCTTGGAATATAGTTTATAAAGTTTCTTTTAGCTGTGTCATGCTGTGTGCTAAGGTCCCTACCATTTGTGACATTCTGGATTCTAAGATTCTCACCATTTCTGACATGCAGTGTTCTTAGGTCCCTTCCATCTTTGAAATTCAATGTTCTGACATTCTATGTTCTAAGGTCCCTTCCAGTCTGGATATTCTGGGTTCCAAGGGCCCTGCAGGCTCTTACATTCTGGGTTCTAAGACCCCTCTCAGCTCTGACATTCCATGTTCTAAGGTCCCTTCCAGTCTTGATGTTCTGGGTTCTAGGGGCCCTGCAGGCTCTTACATTCTGGGTTCTAAGAGCCGTCTCAGCTCTGACATTCCATGTTCTAAGGTCCCTCCTGGCTCTGACATTCTGAGTTCTAAGGTTCTTCCTGGTTCTGATATTCTAGGTTCCAAGGCCCCTTATAGCACTGAAAGTCTATGACTGAAGGTCTGTATCTGCCCATCTCCTTATAGGCCTAAGTTGATGACGCTCCTTGGAGAGTAATTTCACCACTAACGATGATGCTGCTGTGCCATTCCCACCTCTCCATCTAAACTGTGCCCCAAATCCCCCTGGCCCATGCAGGGAGCCAGGAAACAATACTGTCTCCCCAGGAGAGGCTGTACCCTTAGATCCCCAAGAGAGCTGAACAGCACCTTACCAGGGTGGATATCCTGAAAGAGAGACTTCCAGATGGTATACTGCAAGGGGCCTGTGTACTTGGAGGTGGGGAAGTCTTCATAGGTCAGGTTTGTTTCATGAATCTTGCCTTTGAGCCTGGAAGGAGAGTGTTCTGGATTAGGGGCTAGCTTCCCATTTATTCCCAGGCATTTGCAGCACTGCCCCACTCAAGATGGAACGGATACAGAACAGAGATGGAGGAGAGGAAGAAGGAAGAGGCTAAGCTTTCATGGGGCCTAACCTCACTGCCATGGTGTAGATCTTGTTCTCCCCCATCTCTATCAAAAATGCATTTGTCTCTTGTCCCATCCCCTTTGGGTTTTGTTTGGTGATTGGCTAACTAGATTGATTAACTGACATGGAGGTGTTAATAGCTCATATCGGTTTCATGTGTACCTTCTTCTCAGAGGGCATTTTTACTCTCCTAGATGGAACGGTGATAGAATGGTGGAATTCCTGGCACGGTGGCAGGCTTCAGGCCACTGCCCTGATTCTTCCTGTCAACCTAAGCTCTATCTTTACCTTGCCCTCCCTTCCCTGGCTCAGTCACTTAGATGGCCCTAGATGGAGGCCAACCAGCCACAGTATTTTAGCCACCAGTTCCTACTATGAATGTCGGTCCTCACTGGCTAATGATTAACAAGGACAATGGTCCTTTCAAAAGACCAGGTCACTGAGGAACTCTCAGGGACAGAATGGAGCCAGGGAGGAGAGCTACCTTGTTAGGAGAGGACTTGGAAGGCCAGTATGGTGGCCCGTTCTTGCTAAAATGGCTTCTGTCCCTACTCAGTCATACCTCCCACCCAAATTGCTCATTCTAAACTGCCAGCCTGGTTTGGGAATTGGGTGGCCTGCATGCAAGTCCCAGCTCTGCCACTAAAAACTGTGGGTAACTTTCTTACCTTCTCTGGGCCTCAGTTTCCTCATCTATAAAATAGGGCGAGTACTATTTACCTATTGCTCTGGAAAACTTGAAGAACTGAACGAATGTCAGCCCTCAATGCCTACCGAGGGCCTTTATCATAAAACTGAGGCATACGTCCAGAGAGAGCGGACCGCTTTTATGTAGGCTGTGTGCCCTGTTCCCAGCCCAAGGGCGGAAGCAGGCCTGTTCTTAGCTGTCTGCTTTGCCTTCCTCCCTCACGCCTCCCCGGGTCTCCACCAGATGGATTTATCCTGCCGCTCACAGTCTTTAACCACGTAGGATATGGCCTCCCTCCCTTCAGCTAGGCGCTATTATCACCCCCATTTTATAGCTAAGGACACTGAGGCTGGGATGTGCAGTGAGGTGCCCTGGGCTACGCAGCCAATGAATGACTGTGATGGGAGCAGAGCTCAGATCTCCCTGCCTCCGAGGTCAGTCCTCGACTCTCTAGCTGCCTCCTGGCACGTGATGCTCGATGCGTTCTTTAATTTCCCTGATGGCTCTATTCCCCGTCTTTCTTTTTAATCCTTTGAGAAGGGGAGGAGGAGAGATATATTTGAAAGTGAAGGGAATGGAAAAATAAAACGGATCTGTACAAATTTAAAAAAGAAATGATGCCATCTGTACTTTACATCTGTACAGAGCTTTACGATGCACTTTTATCTGAGTGAAGATCACAGTCACCTACCGCTTCCCTCAGTGTGCCCAGACTGAGGAGGAGCAATCCCTTATCACCTGTAGTTTAGGGTCAGAATCGGCTCCCGGCAGCCACTGGAGGGAAGGAGGAAGATCCAGCCAGGGTGGATGCATGGAGGAATGGCCCCTCCCTGGATAGACTTCTACTGTCCCCGCCACATACCGCTCGGACAGTGAGGAGACCCCGGCCAGGAAGGCGTGCCGGTCTGCCTCAGCCAGCCGCTCCTGAAGGATCTGGCTGCCCTCCTGGACCCTGCGCAGTTGCTGACTATAGCGCTGTATCTTCTGCTCGATGTCCGTCAGGGTGCGGGCCGTGTCTGCCTCCAGCTCCTCCAACATGGCCTTTTGGCGCTCACGTAGCAGCCGGTGCAAGCGCTCAAAGGCCTCCCCAATGGTGGCCCGCAGGCTCTTGGTGGAAGACTGCAGAGAACACACACAGTGTGAGGCAGGGTGTGGAGTACAAGGTGGCGGCACTGGGATACCAGTGGACAAAAGCATAGGGGTGGGAACCCAGGGACCTGCGTGCTGCCCTGGCTCTCTCACTAACCAGCTCTATGACCTTGGGCAATCATCTTCCACTCCCTGAGTTTTCATTTTTGCAAAATGAGGATAATACTTCCTTATTTGACCTATCTCACAGAGGACCAGGTGAAATATGAGATTCAAAGGTATTTGTAAAGTTTAATGTGTTATATAAATGCAAGGGATAATTCGATTCAACTTAGTGCACCTACCATGAGCATTGCACATTGTTAGGCATGAGGGATACAATATAGCCCTGCTGGATGTACCATGTACAAGGACTGGCACAGAGGGTGGGGAGTGATGGGGGGCGGCGGGAAGTAAGAACAGACAAAGGGATATACAAGAAGGGAAAGAACATTATCAGCAGAGAGGGTGAGGGAGGATATCATGGCAGCTTCATGGCCCCTGAGCGGAGCCATGGAGGAAGAGAAGAAGTCTGAAAGGCTAACAGCAAGGAGTACAATTGAGGCAGGAGAGCAGCACGGCAAATACACAGAGGTGGGCAATGGCAGGTTGAGCCTGAGGAACAAGAAGTAGTCTACTTTTTGCCAGAATGTAGAAAGGTTGCTAGGTGGTGCAGTGGATAGAGCGCCAGGCCTGGAGTTAGGAAGACCTGAGTTCAAATTCAGTCTCAGATACTTACTAGCTATGTCACTTCACCCTGATTGCCTTAGTTTCCTCATTTGTAAAATGAGCTGGAGAAGGAAATGGCAAACCATTCCAGTACATCTGCCAAGAAAACCCTGAATGGTGTCATGAAGAGTTGGAGACCACTGAAATAACCGAACAACAACAAAAGAGTGTTTCAAAGTGGATAATGTGAAATAAACCCAGAACGATAGGTTGGAGCCAAATTAGAGAAGGCCGAGCTGAGGAACATGTGTTCTGTTCTGGTAGCAGTAGGGAGCCACTGGAGATTTCAGATATGAGAAGCTGAAGGAGACAGCAGATGAAGCAAGTTCTTACTGGGCCTCTTCCACTAGGGTTGCTTTTGATGCCTGACTTCCCGGCCCCTGGCAGCCCAAGGCCAGGAAGAATCTCCCTCAGGGGAGATGAGATTTTTCTTCCCTAAAGAGCCAACACTAGAGGGTGGTGTCACCCCAAACTTGGGAAAGTCCATTTACCTGGAGGTGGCAGAGAGGGGGCAATGATTTTGATTTTCCCTTGGGCATCTGCTGAGATGGATAAATCCACGATAAATAATAACATTAAACATATATAGTGCTTTCAACTTTGTGTAGAGCACTTTACATCTTTTATCTCATCTGAACCTCCCAACAACTTGGTAAGGTAGGTATTGTCATGCCATCATCCTCATTTTACAGATGAGGAAACTGAGGCTCAGAGCAATGAAATGATTTACTTGTCCAGGATTATATTAGCTAGTAACAGTCAGGATTTGAATCCTCAGTCTTCTACTCTAAATTTATATTGTTCAGTTGTTTCAGTCGTGTCTGACTCTCCGTGAGCCCATTTGGGGTTTTCTTGGCAAAGATACTGAGGTGGTTTGCCATTTCCTTCTCCAGCTCATTTTACAGTTGAAGAAACTGAGGCAAACAAGGTGAAGTGACTTGCCCAGGGTCATTCAGCTAATAAGAGTCTGAGGCCGTATTTAAACTCAGGTCTTCCTATCCAGGCCTAGTGCTCTGTTCATTGAGCCACCTAGCTGTCTATATTAGGTTGCTTCTAAAGGAATGGCTGAACCTGAACACATCTCTAGAAAACCTAAAAAAAACCATTGGCCCTTATTAATTATATGCTAGGCAACAAGGCAGAAGGCGATTTTACCTTTCCTGGGTCTCAGTCTCATTTATGAGATTCACCTTTCGGGGATTGTTTCATTGTTTATATTTGTGTCTCCAGTGCCTAGCACCATGCTTGGCACATAGAAAATGCTTAATACATACTTGATTGATTGTAAAAGAAGAAGTTGGATTAGGTTAGCAGTTCTTAACCCTTTTTATGTCATGGTCCCCTCTGGTGAAGCCCATGGACAGAATAATAGTTTTCAGTGCATAAAATAAAATAGATAACGTTACCAAGGAAGCCAATTATGTTGAAACACAATTTTCAGAATTTTTTTTTCAAAAGGTAAAGGACCCCAGGTTAAGAACTCCTGGCTTAGATGGTCTCTAAGGCCCCCTCCAGTTGGAACATTCTAGCTTCAAAGGTCTCTTCCAGCTACATTTTCTGTTTCCCTTATTTATATAATGAAGCTGTAAAATATGGATTAAAAGATCTCTAAGGTCCCTTCTAGCACTAAATCCCATGCTTCCCTAACCGAAGGCTTCTTCCAGCTCTAACATTTTATGCTGGAAGGCCATCCCACCTAGCATTCTACATTCCCAGGTTCCTTCTAGCTCAGACATTCTGTGTTCTCAGGTCACGGAATCCAGCTTGGTTCAAGAGTTCCCGATGCTTTCTCTCTCCTGAGCATCCTCTAATCCAAGACTGGGCAGTATGGACGCCCGGCTGGACTGGTGATGGCTTTAGGTGGGTCATCACCTCCTCAGTCAGGAGCTATCTCTGTAGCATGGGGTAACGGATGGAGGGCTGGCTTTGGAGGCAAGAAGAGCTGTGCTGGAGTCCACATCTGACCCATACTGGATATCCTGGGCAACTTACTTAACCACTGAGTGTCTGCCAATGCAACTCTCTAAGGCTTCATTATACATGAGTGGCCAACCTATAACCAATGGAGAGAATTTCCATACTAGGAGGCCAGGATTTTAGTACCAGAGCCCTCAGTGGTCATGTGACCCTAAGTCCTATCATTTAACTCAAAATACTCGCCTCCACTGCTAAATCCAACAGTCTTTTCTCATTCTACACCCTACTTGAATTCCCTGTAGTTCTTTAAACAACAGGGATACTCTCTCCTCCCTGAGATTTTATAATATTGCTCTTTCCTGATTTTTGTTTTGTTTGGTTTTTTTGGTTGGGCAATGGGTCACACAGCTAGTAAGTATTATGTGTCTGAGGCCGAATTTGAACTCAGGTCCTTCTGAATCCAGGCTGGTGCTCTATCTACTGTGCCACCTAGCTGCCCCCTCTTTACTGATTTTTTACCCGAGGGAGCTAGGTGGTGCAGTGGAGAGAGTGATAGAGTTGGAATCAGAAAGATCTGATAGCTGTGTGAGCCTGTGTGAGTCCCTTAATCTCTCTCGGTTTCCTCCTCTGCAAAATGGGGATAGTAATAACACTCATCTCACCGTGGTCTTGTGAGGTTCACATAGGATAATGTATGCAGGGTGCTTTTCACACCTTATAGCAAATGCTAGTTACTACTATTTATTATTACTCCTTGTCTGCTCCTCAGCCTCCTTTGAAGAATCATCATCTATACCTTGACTCCTAAGTGTCAGGGTTGCTTATTTCTGAAGCCACACACCCTTCAGGAGCCCATCCTGATCCCCCTAGCTTTGAAGACTGGCTGTCCTGAAAGTCACTTTGTATCTCTGCAGTATCTTATGTATATTTCTTTTTCTTTCTACAAGTTGTTTCTCCTCAGTAGAATGTAAGCTCCATGTGGGCAAGGATTGTTTCATTTTCATTCGTGTCTTTGTATCTGTAGTGCACAGCATGGTACTTTGCACATAAGAGCTGGTTAAAAATTGCTTGATGAGTGAGTTCCCTACACCAATGGAAACATAATCTAGCACCCAAAAATCCCTGCCTACCTTCTGCGTTGAAGACCCCTTTTTGTTTCAGGCCAGAAATGAATAACTCCTCTGCCCCTTTGCCTCACAGCCCTCTTGGTGGGACACGATGGCATCCTGTCCTATAGACTTAGGGCCAACAGAGACATATTCAGCTTTAACCTTCTAGCCAGTCTAGGGCCAAAGGGACAAGAAGCTTGTAAGGGATTTCAACATCTGTCTCTGGCAGCCCCATTTACTCAGTTTCTCATGTTCAAACTCTGGGTTTAATCTTCGGTTCTTCTTTCTCCACAACCTCTCCCATCTAGTCAGTTCCAAACCCTGTGCCCAATTCCATCTCCGCCATCTCTCTCTCTAATTCATCTTGCAAAGGCTGAGGGGCAGAGGGTATGCCTTCCAGAGGGGCATCCTGCACAGTCATGGAAGTAGGAGTTGGAATGTCCTGAATGGGAAATGGCGAGTGGGGAAATCTGGCTGGAAAAGGGAATGACATGCAATAAGCCTGGGAAGGTAGGTGGGAGCCAGATTATGGAGGGCTTTAAATGTCAGGCTGAGTGGAGTTTATCCTGGCAATAACAACCCAACTCCAATGCCACCTGTTCTGGCGAGTCTTCCCTGTTTCTCTGTGCTTGGCAACAGAAGGCAGCATGGTATGATGAGAAGAGTACTGATCCTGGAATCAAAGCCTGGGGTGGGATCCAGGCTTGGCCTCTTGGTATCGGTGGGCTTTCACAAAACATCTCTCTGACTCAGTTTCCTCTAATGTAAGATTAGGGGAGAAGGAAACTGATACTCTCTACAAAGCAAGTCAACCAACTTTGTAAACCTTGAAGTCCCATGTAAATGGGAGCTGTCATTAATAATATTATTCACGATAAAGAGATTAAGGAGAAAGCGCCACTTGACTGGGGAATCAGGAGCTCACCGATGACCTTGGAGAAAGCATTTCCTTTAGAGTGGTGGGGATAGGAGCCAGATTACAAGAACCTGAGGAGTGAGTGGGCTGGCAGGAAGTGGTGGCAGAGAGGGTATATGGCCATTTCTAGAAATTTGGCAGCAAATGGGAAAAGAGAATGAATGACAGTTTAAGGGAGTAGCAGGGTTAAGGGAAAATTCTTTAGGCTAGGGAGAGTCTGAATACCATTTGTAGGCTGGAGAGAAAGGGAAAGGATGAAGATGGAGGGGAGCAGGGGAAATGACTGATGCAAGAAGGAGAAGATGGAAGAGGATAGATTG